CCTCCGCCCAATAATTCAGTCCCTCAGGGAGTTTGGATGTGTCTATGGAGTTTCCATGACCTTTCCTTGTACAAACTGTGCTGGCTTCCCCAGTATTGTGTACTGTCTTACCCTTCACCAAAGTTACCACTTATCTACTGTCTATTTAGTAAAATTCTCCATCTTTTTATCCATTTGTTTATCTTTTCCTCTAATATATTACGGTTGTTTTAAAGTTTTTTTCTACTAATTTGTCTACTTTTTTTCTCAATTATTGACCACATTTTTCTGTTTCTACAGATGTTTATATTTTTTTATTGTATGCTGGACATTATTATAAAAGAACAGAATCCTAAAATAGGAAGTTGATATTGTTTCCCACCCCTCCAGTGGATTCACTCTTGTATTAGGCAGATCGGGTGAAAAATCGATCACCTCAATCCAATTAGGAATTGAGGTTTAGTTAGATTCAGCCCATCTCTGTTTTCAAACGTCTCCAGGTTGAGATTTATCCTGCATTTCTTGTAGGCCCACTCCCTATAAAACCAAAAAACCAAATCCACTGCCGCTGAGTTGATTCCAACTCATAGCGACACTATAGGACAGAGCAGAACTGCCCCATCAGGTTTCCAAGGAGCAGCTGGTGGATTCGAGCTGCCGACCTTTTGGTTAGCAGCCAAGCTCTTAACTACTGCTCCATTCTTAACAGCAGGACTTTATCTTCTGAGCATTGTACACCTGCATGAGATTTCACCCTGTCTTTCTATCCTGGTCCCTAGCCTCCTGTGCTACCCCAGCACTCAGCAAATGTCCCATGGGGAAAAATGGCAGTATGCTTGGAATTGTTCTAGATTCCAATCTGTAATGCCACCCAAAATGACTTTCAAAAGTTCCACTAGTTTGTCTTTCCTCCAGGAAATCCCTCTGCCTAAGCCTAAGCCAAGTACAATATTTAGCCTTTGTCCAGAGTTGGCAACAGTCTCCAGTGAAGGTAACGGTCAATGATTCTTAGCTCATGTAGGATGGGCTCTTTCCTCATAGTAATTTTAGTCCATCCAGTCCTCTTTACTTCCATGTATCTTTAATGTCTTTTAAAATATGTTTGCAATTTATAATTTTTCCCTAGTTGCTGCAGCAAAAAATTTTTTGCAGTTTTTAAAAAATATTTTCATTTAAAAAAAAAACACTGATACAGAAAGCCACATACAAAAAATATATAGTTTTATGAGTTATTACAAGGGAAGTACACTTGTAAAGACCACCCAGGCCAAGAAAAAGAACTTGGCCTACCACTCTGGAAGCCATTCCATATATCTTTCGATTTTGATGCCCTTCCCTAAAAGCAACCATTACCCTGACTTTTAGAAGAACCACTTCCTTGTAGTTCTTTAGTTTTGTTACCACATGCATCCCTAGACACTTTAGTCTTACTTTTTCTTTTTTCTATTTCTTAAGTCTCTTTTCATGTACAGGTTTTCCCTCCATTACATTTTCTCCCCCTTGTAATTCACTGTTTTAGAAGCCAGGGAATTAAGTCTGCAGTTTCCTCCGCTGTATGGATTGGTCGCTCGCATACTCAGAGTACAGTTCAACATGCTGCTCTGTCCTCTGCATGTTCTGCAAATTGGCAGCTGGATCCAGACATCTGATCAGACTGCATTCCGTCCCTTTGGCAAGACTATAGACGGTGGTGTTGGCACTTGTTAAATGTCAATGCCTAGATCCATTAATTTATTGAATGTGGCAAAATGATGATATTCTATAATCCATTTTCTTTTATTGGAATACTTTTATAAAGAAACAATCCACTTATATATGACTCAGTTACCCTATTCCTATGTGATACAGTTCACATAAGAAAGGCAGGATATGTGCTTGCTTCTTTCACTGTATTTGACACTTTTCAAGATAATAAATTGGTTTCCTATCATCATCCAAGGTAACCACTTATTTAAAAATGTTGTTTTTACCTTGGTGAGTAGCATCTGGGGTCTTAAAAGCCTGTGAGCAGCCATCTAAGATACTCCACTGGTCTCACC